CTTGCCCGACCTCCCAGTGAACTACGGGACGGTTGATCTGGCGATATCGCGCATGTCCCCGCGGAGCTTTTTGTGCGTTGTGGATTTGGCGGATGCGTTCTGCAACTGGCGCGTCTTGCCTTCCGATGCGCGGTGGCTGGGTTTCTGGTCCCCGGGGCGACAGCAGTACGGCATGTACACATTCCTGCCGTTCGGCCTAAAAACAGCACCTTCCATCAACGATTCTAGCTTAAAGGAATTATTACGGCTGTTGCAGCTGCGCGAGAACGCCGTGCTTACAGATTTCGTAGACGACAATCTGGGCGCACAATCTTCCGAGGAGGACGCGTGGCTGGAGCTGGAGCGCGTCGTCCGGTTCTTCCTGAAAATTGGCGTCCCGATCTCTGCAAAAGAAGGCGGCATCCGGCCGCCCTCTCAAGTCCAGACGCGGGTTGGATGGGTGTTCGACACTCTGAACAACACGCTGTCTGTTGAGCGTAAAAAGTGCGACAAGTGCCAAGCCCTCATTCTCGCCGCCCTGCAGGCAGATTCAGACGGAACCTTGCTGGCGCGAGACCTCGCAGCCACCGCCGGTCTGGCCAACCATATTGCGGAGGTGCTCCTGCAAGGCAGGCGGCGACTGTATCATGTCTGGGCGTCGCTGAACGCAGCAAACGTGCACGCGCTGTGGGCTCGCCGCCCAGCGGCGAAACCCGTTGTCCACTTGAGCCCCGACGCGCGCGAAGCTTTGAGGTGGTGGCACCGCGCTCTGGGCCGCACCCCGGAGCGACCGCTGCACGGTGAAGCTGGGCAGCTTTCGCTTTGGGGGCCGAAATCCCCCGAGTTCCAAGAATGGCGCCGCGCGGCGGCTGCCGGCTGCCTGCGCGCCATAGAAACTGACGCCAGCAAGCTGCACGGATGGTCATATAATTTGCGCAGCGCTGGCGTGGTCAGGCCCGGCGTTTGGCCGGCAGGTTTCGCAGGTCTCGCAGACAACGCAGACGCGATAAATATTAAAGAATTGTGGGTCGCGGTCCAGGCCGTTCAGGCAGAACCCGAATGGTTGCGCGGATGGCGCGTCGTGTTTCGAATTGATTACACGGCCGCCATCCATGACGTGAACTTCCGCTCCGGTCGCATACCGCACCTCGTGCAGTTGGCCGAAGAATTCGAGCATGCAGAACGCTCGGCCAGGTGCTGGTGTTTGGCCGTGCACTTGGCGGGCGCAGCGAATGTCATCTCGGATTCCGGTTCCCGAGACTCAGCATTTGCGTCTCGATGGAATGCAGACCCTTTCCGCGAGGCTGTGCTGAAAGCGTCGGTGATGGACCGCATCACCAACGAATTCGGCCCATTTGATTGCGATCTTTTCGCGGGCCGGCTGGGGGTCACCGCGAAAGCGCCGCTATGGTTTCACCCCGAGAACACCGCGTTTGAGGCGCACGTGTTAAGAAACAAGGTCTGGGCACACCCGCCCCGCGCCTCGGCAGGGCATGCCATTTCGTTCCTGTCCAAGGCACTTGCCGAAGGCAAGTGCGGCGCTGTTTTTTAGTTGCGCCAGAGGACACCGGAGCAGCTTGGTTCCGATCCTGGCAGCTTAACAAGTGGCGTAGGCTTGCTCGCTGGCAATCCGGATCAGATCTGTTCCGCGCGCCGCGTCCGGACGGCGGCTGGGTCAGAGCCCCAGCAGCGGATCTGCCCATCCTGCTCTTGGGCTTTTCGGGAAAACATCCCAGCGTGTACTCGTCCGTCCGTTGGCATTCTCTGCTGCTTCTCGCCCTCTGTCCATCTCGCGGTCTCCTCGCTCAGTCCGACTGCGCGGGTCAAGTCGATCCCGTCTTCGACGCAGCCGCGCAGGCTCAAGCTGAGGTCGACGTCAGCGCAGCGCACTGCACTTCTGAGTCGAGTCATCCTCCCTCTTCTGCCGCAACTGCCCCGGCTGCGCCCCGGCCATGGCTGCGCCAGTCGAGCCAAGCGCCTTCGGCGAGGCGGAAGCGACGGAGTGGTTCAAAACAGCCATTCGGCAGGGCGGTGCCTTGGAAGCAGCGTTCGCCGAGGCAGTAAAATCTGTCTTGCAAGCGGACGCGGCCTCGGACGTCGGGGAGATTCCCACGGCGATCAAGGCAACGGCGGAGACGTTCGAGACGCAGAACGGGCACACCGACACGGTGATCGTTTTCCTCGAGCAGCGCGTCATAGCCTGCGAGGAGTTCGTAGCCAAGGCTAGCAAGCAAGAGGCTGACCTGGACGCGGCTTTCTCGTGGCGCGAGGTCGAGCGGTCCACAGACGCGCAGGAGTGGTTGGCCGGGTGGAACCGTCTGTTCGTGGACAAAGACTGGCTGGCCAACGTCTCTGCGCAGATGACAGACCCAGCGATGGTCAACGCCGCATCCGCGCGCATGGCCAACCCGAACAACCCGGAGGCGCAGAAGATCAAAGACGCGATCGGTCTGCGCAACGCCCCCAAGACCACCTTGAAGGAGCTGTGCCTGTCGTCGTTCGGCGGCAGCCCAGACCGCTTTCGCGCGTTCGTGTCGGACAAGGCGGCGGCCCGGGACGAGAAGGTTGTCGCCGCCATCGCCAGGAAGGCGCTGGGCTTCTTCCTCCTGCTCGAGAACCAGCACGTGAACGCAGCCACGGCCAAGCCGGCCTCGGCCGCCAAGTTGACCGCCCAGAGGAACGAGATTATGCCTCACTTGTTCGTTACCCTCAAAGCCATGCGCCGCAAGGCCAAGAAGGCGTCGGCACGGAACAGCCTGGAGCACATCATGCTGTGCTCCGAATTCAGCTTGGACTGGTCTCTGGGCCTCTCGCGCCTCGCCGTCGCTCCCTTCGCGATGGCTCCGCCCGGCCCCGCCGTCACGGCAGTCGTGACTTCCGGCTCCCCCGAGGGCGCGCCGGGCGCGGTGGGTGGGCCCGCTTACAAGCGCCTGCGCGCAGACCCAGCCCAGGGCGGCGGCGGGGCGCCGGGGGGCAAGGGCAGCTGGGCGCCGCAGCAGGGACTCCCGCAGCAACACCAGAACCAGCCGAACTCCTTCGGCCAGAACACCGGCAAGGGCGGCAAACCCCAGGCGCCGGGCACCGGCAAAGGCGGGAACAACAACCACAAGAAGGCCCACGTGACGGCGATGTTGTCGGAGCTCGGGAACATGGTGGGCAGGCAGCAGCCGGCCGCCGTGCAGGCTTTCGTCGACGCCAAGCACCAGGGCCCGCCGGACGACAAGGAGGCGATCAGGTCCATCATGGGCACCTATTGCCGCCACTGTTTGCTCGGGAGCCGGAAGCTCGTCCAGCACAGCCGGGCCCACTGCAGGCAAGAGGGCGGCGTGCCGGCCACTCCGCGCTGCCGCTGCGCACAGAAGGGGATCGTGGCATTCCACTGGCAGGAGGAATGCAGAAGCTAATGCGCCTGCCGCGCGCGAGCGCGCAGCCCTCCGGCAAACCGAGCGGCATGCCTCGCCCCTTCTCTGACTACCTCCCCTGTCCCATCTCCCGCTCGCTTGGCTGGCCGGGTAGCCTGGTGAGCCCACAGCCGTGCCGGTGACAGCTGCAGAAAAGGCCTTTCGCGTGGCATCTTGTATGTTATAATCCGCGAGCCGGCTTCCCTGCCCCATGCGGGCGAACATGCCCCGTGCTCTTCGTGCACGCTCGTTCAGATACAGCCTGCGCGCTTGGGCCGGTTGCAGACGAACCACTTCGGCCCTGGCAGGCGGACCGCGAGGAAAAAACAGCGTCGCTTGGGCGGGGGAAAGTTTCCAGGCCCCCCCTCTGGTCAGACGTCGTCGTCTTTGCGGGGGAGGGCCCAGACCCCGTTCTTGCCAGTCACGCGCTTGCCTATAACACCCGCAGGCCTACGGCAAACCCCGCCAGGTTGCCAGCGCTGTGGCATTGTTTGTTTGTTCGTCGGAACCCTGCCTGACACGCAGCAGAGATGGTCGCGCGCCCGCGCGCGCCGAGTGCGCCGCCGCAGATTTCCGATGCAAGGTAACGAGAAGCCTTTGCCGTGGGACTCCCGTGGACCACCCTTTTGGCCAAATTTCACGGCGACTCTCTCCCTCCCTCTCCCTCTCTCTCTCTCTCTCTCTCTCTCTCTCTCTCTCTCTCTCTCTCTCTCTCTCTCTCTCTCTCTCTCTCTCTCTCTCTCTCTCTCTCTCTCTCTCGCTGTCTGCGCATATCACGCATACGCACGCACGCATATATGTTTAAGAGAGGGGGAGATAACGAGAGAAGGGGGGGGCGAGAGAGATACCGGGAGCGGGGTGGTCTACGAGACACGGGCGGACAATCGGCCTTGTGGACAGGCTTGCACAGGTGCCCATACCACGCGGCCCCAGCGGGGCTGCGGTGCCAGGAAGGAGGAGGCGGGCCCACCGGGGCTCCACTCAAAAACTATCACTAATTTTACGGATCTCCAGAAAACGCCTTGGACATGGCCGGCGGGCCCGCTCGTGATCCGGGCCGGGATCCCAGGTAGCCAGCAGTTGTGGTGGAATCCGACAGGCAATCAGGCCCGTGTGGGTCCGCTCCTCGAGGCTTCCGGCGGCCGACTCCTGGCTAGGTCTCCAGAAAAAACTCTGGGCGAAGTCGCTGGCGGGTCCGCTCCAGGGGACGCCCCCCGTCGGCACTGATGCCCCCGGAAAGCGCTCGCGAGGCACAGCGAGAGCGCGGCTTCCTTTAGGGACGCAGGCGACGCAGCGCCGTCTTCCAGCCCAGGGCCCTCTTCCCACCTCCGCCCTTCTCTCCCGCCCTTGGCCTCCTTCCCTCCCCCCGCCCCCCTCGCCTCTGCAGCCGTCTCGGCTCAAGACCTTGACATGCACCTGTTGAGCGCGCCACTGTCTGGCCAGCCAAACTCTCCGGCGCCATGGGGTGTTGAGTTGCTCTCAGCACCGTTGCCTGATCGTCGGTGGGCCGTCCGGCCTCGACCCAGGGCCTTGGATGCGCCTGCCTTGCTGGCCCGCCCCGCGACCAGAGGGCCGCGGGCACTTGTCGGCGCCCCTGCCGCGGGCGACGCGGCCCTCCAGTTCGCGCCGGTTCGGGGCGACGTTCTGCAAACATCCACGCAGACAGGGGCATTGTCCGCACGGGCCGCGCTCATGGACACCGCGCAAGACATCCTGCGAGCCGGGTGGGAGCAAAGCACGATCCGGACGTACAGCCGAGCGTTGTCCGTGCACGTTCACGGCTTCGAACAGCAGGTCGATTCCAACATCCTCCCGTTGGATTCCCCGGATAAGCTCATGCTCCTGTTCGCCAGCATGGACGGCATGGCATGGCAAACCATACGCCTCAACAAAGCAGCCGTCAGAGCGTGGCACCAGAGCAACAACTACAGCCAGGTCTTCGACGATTGCTGGGACGATCGGGCTTTGCATTTTTGGCGAGGCCTGAAAAAGAGAGCATCCCACGCATCGCACCAAAAACGTGCGATTAGTGTTGAAGAGTGGGCGCTGTTTTGCACGGCCAGGGCGGCAACAGGCACGCCGGCTGGGCGGAGGGATGCAGCTTTCGCGTCGTTTTGCTTTATCGGCTTGCACCGCGTTTCGGAGGCGATCAACCTCCGCGTTCAGGACGTGCATTTTAAAGCCTCGCGCGCGTGTTTTTTCATCAGGAAACAGAAGAACGACCCGTGTGGCAAAGGCCAATGGCGTTTCATTCCGTTCAAGGTTATTGCTGGGCTATCCCCGGCGAAATTCCTGCAAGATTGGATGGATTGGAAAGCCGCGACGGCAGCTCACGTGCCTTTCCTATTCTGCACCACGACAGGTTCCCAACTCCAGCCTGTTAGCGCGGATTCGTGGCGCAAGGCGGTTTCGTCACACTTTAAGGACCCAGCCGCTAGCACGCATTCGTTTCGTAGAGGCGGAACAGAATGGTTCACGCACGTAGCAAAGATTCCCCCGCACGTGGTCCAACGGCAAGGTGGGTGGAATTCGGAGGACGTCATGCGTCATACGTACGCCGACACATCCCCAGATACGCTAATGCAGCGTTTCGTCGATAGCCTAGCAGCCTCTTCTGCAGAGCAGACGACGGACCGGCCGACCAAACGCTTGCGAGAGAAGACGGCATCCGTGCGCTCGCTCGGAGGCCCGCAAGGAAAAAAGACCGCCGGCTCCCAACACACACCGCTTCGCGGAACACCGCCTCAAGGGGGCCTGCTTCGAGGGGTGATCACCAGGTCGTCTCCTGGCGGCTCCTTCCCTGGTGGGCTGGGGGTACATTCGCCCCCTTGATGCTGGGGAAAAGCATCGACAACGTCGTGAGATTGATCCTATTAGGAGGAAGGAGAAGCTTTTCGGATAATGGGCGATCTAGAGACGCAGATGCTTCGGACATCAGGGACACGATCAGCATTGCCAGTGCCTACTGTGCTGGCAATGGTCCGCAGGTGGCCTTACCCGGCTTCGTCGGCGCCTACTGTGCCGCTGGGCTAAGGCTCGGGGGGTCACGTCCCCGCGGGGCCGAGTGCCTGCCGTCCGTTGGCAGGGCGCCGCGCAGGGCGCATTGCGTCGCAGGGCGTCTCACATGGCGCCCTGCTTCGCACTTTCCTGCCGTCTCGTGGCAGGACGCCTCACAAGGCGCAGGCCGCGTCGCAGAACGCGCAATCGCCCTCCCGCCCCCCCTGCTTCGCGCCGCGACGCGCGCGTAGATGCGGCGAGGGATTCACATACGGCCCGTGCGCGGCCGTTTCTGCCTCAGCTCCCGCTTCCCGAGGCGACGGCCAGCACGGAAGTTTCGGGGGGTGATCACCAGGTCGTCTCCTGGCGGCTCCTTCCCTGGTGGGCTGGGGGTACATTCGCCCCCTTGATGCTGGGGAAAAGCATCGACAACGTCGTGAGATTCGCCCAGACTGGGAAAAAAACATTACCCCAGCAAGGCACCCTGATAGCGGCGAAGGTGAAGAGGCGGGTCGAGGAGGAGCTGGTTGGCTATACGGGACAAGGGTGGGAGCACGGCCATGTACACATAAACGAAATTGTGTACAAGGGATACTGGCCGTCTGGACCAAAAAACTAGCATTGAGGCGAGAGCACGATTGCCGCATTAATTGCCAGGACGTTTGAGTTGAAACGGCCGCCCGACCGTGCGGTCTAGGGCTACCCGTTCCGCCTGTGGGACTCGTCCGTGGTCCTTGACCATCTAACGAAAAGTTTTTGGGGAAATGGACGTAAACGTCCGGAACTCCGCGCGGATTTCTCAAATTTGCGCCAGGGCCCCCCTGGCGGCGCCTCCGGCCCAGCCCCTGGCGCGCTCCGCGCGCCAGGGAAGAGGGCCCAGCGCCGATCCAAGCATTCCGCGCGGACCTCTGGAAGGTTATGCTTATGACGTTTTCTGTCTATCCACCAGCGTTGGCCCCGCGCTTCTTATTGACCCACTGAGGCTAGTAGGGAAAAGCTGCTTTTGTCAGCGGCGATTCGGGTCCAAGATGCGGTCGAAGAAGCCGAGGGACGCACTGGAACCGAATTGGACACACAGGGGAGGAAAGCAAAAGGCGCGGGGGGAGGAGCAGGCCGCGGGCAGCGGAGCACGCTCAGACCGTGATTACCCCAAAATTGACTTGCTCGTCGAACCTACGACAAAGCCGTAGGCTGCTCCGCAGATCCGCGGAGAACACTCCACGCATTTGCCGCGGACCCGACAGAACAACGAACCCTTCTGGGGCAAATCCATTCTGCAGCCAATCTGATTACCTATATACCAGACCACCGCAACCCAACCCGGAGACCCGAATTTCGCGCGAATTTCGGGTTGGGGGGGTCCATGTTCCCCGACCCCCCCCCCACCGGAAATGGAGGGCAAATCGGGGCCTTCGGCTTGCGTTGGGGTGGTTTGGTGGGCGATGGCAACCTTCCACTCGAATGAGTATCGTTTAACCGATCCCCATCCCCAGCGGCGTGGCCTGGGCCCCACTGGCCGATTCATCCCCCCAGATGGGGATATGGGTCGTTTCCTTCGGGTTTCGAGGAGTGTGTCCACTGGGGTGACATTGTGGTGGGGGTCTCGAAAGGGATGGGGGTGGGGATGGGGGCCGGATAAACGATACTGAGAGTGAGGACACAATCCTGCCGTCGGGGCTCTGGGCACTGCGCGGCGCGGCGGGCGCGGAGCCGCGCGGCCCTCAAGGCGAGGCGGGCACCGGGGGCCGCGCCCGCAGGCACGCCCGAGCGCCCGCCCGAGCGCCCGCCCGAGCCCCCTCTGGGCATCGATTCACCGATCCCCATCCCCACTGGCGCTGCCTGGGCCCCTCTGGCCGATTCACCCCCCTGGATGGGGATACAGGCTGTTCCCTTCGGGTTTCGAGAGGCCTATCCCCCACTGGGGTGGCAAGGTGGTGGGGATTGGGACAGGTATCAGGATGGGTTTAAACGATACTGTCCCCTCCGCCGCTCCCGGCATCGCTCCGACGCGGAGGCGATCGGCCACTGGGCAGCAGGGGGGCCAGCACCGGATCGGGAAACCGGATCAAAGTCGAAATCCCGACGACGACGAGGACGACGAAGACGATGACGACGCCGAACGGCGACGAACGGCGGACGGCGGACGACCGAAGGGACGGGAGGGAGAGCGGAAGAAAATCTTCTCAGCACGAAGCTGGATCGGAATCTCGCCGATTCGAGCTGCCAGGATCGGAGAGCAGCGAATGGGTCCCCAGCAGGCCAGATCGGAAAAAGTCGGATCGGCAAGACGAGACGGATCGGTAAGGTTGCAAATGCGGCTTGATCGGGTCGTCCGGATCGATTCAATCGAAACGGGTCCTGCTGGGTAAGACTGTCGCGATCTGGGCCTGACCCGTCTGTTCGAGGGCCCTCCACCCCCCCCCCGGCCCTTAAATGAGCAAGGACGTGACAATAAAAATCACGACGTAATCCGCCGACCCTTTTGGGTTTATCGGCGTGTGAAATGTTTCCCCCTCCCCAAACCCCTCCCCCGAGAGCCCGGTCCTGTCAATTTGGAGGTCCCCTGGGATCCGGGTGAACGCATCCGGGAGGGCAGAGGGGCCCAAAACAAGGCCCCAAGGGCCCCAAGAGGCCCTTGGGGCGGTTCACGAGGGCCACGAGTCGCTGAAAGTTCGATCCAAAACGCCCACGCTGGCCTCCAGGCGCCCAAGAGGCCCCCAAGACGCCCCAAGAAACCCCTCAGAGGCGTCCCAAGATGGCATCCAGAAGCAACAATCGTCCCATTCCCTTTGGAAAACGTGCAAAACGTGCATTGTTAGCGCATTCGCCTCGTGGGCGTTCACAACGTCCCAGACGGCCCAAGAGGCCTTCAAGTTCGCCCCAAGGCGGGCCAAGAGGCCCCCAAGACTACCCAAAAGGGTCCCAAGATGGCCCAAAAAGCCCTTAAGACGGCCCAGGAGGGCCCGAGGACAGCCCCAAGAAGGGGCCCAGAGGGGGATCCCGAACGGCCATTTCGAGTCATCCACCCCAAGACGCCTCCGGGTTGCCCCAAGAAGCCCCCAACAGGCCTCCAGGGAGCCCCAAGATGGCCACAAAAAGCCCCCAAGAGGCCCTCAGGAGGCCCCCAAGAGATTCAAAAACTGCCTCCAAGACGCCCCCGAGACGCCTCCCGCAAGACCCCATCAGCCATCTGAGTGGCCTCAGACCCGCAACCCAGGCACGGTGGCGGGATGTGTCGAAGGCCTTCGATTATCATTCGTCGGGTTCTCTATACGTGGGTTCTCGCCTGTTTCCCCATGCATGCACGTCGAATACTGAGAAAGTCAGCCCAAGAGGCCCCAAAAACAATGCCCCCAAGAGGCCCCAATGAAGCCCCAAAAGAGCTCCAAGAAGCCCCCAAAAGGCGCACAAGAGGCCCTCAGGAGCAACACACAACAACCGCCAGTTCCTCAAGGGGTCGGCGGTGTGGCGTAAGCCCAAGAATCAAAATTACTGTTTCCCAGGGGAGGGCTGCCTGAGTCAGCCTGATTGCCGGTGCGGTGATCATGACACTCTCCGCCGGAGTTTGGCTCAATCCCACTAGCCCTCTGGGTGTAGGTGATCTAACGACATCTTTCACTCCTCTTCCAAAACCGCTCTTCCCTTCGGGGAGGGGTCCGCTCCCACTCCCCACCCTCAGGTTTCTGTTGGGGGGTTCGCGAGGTGTCAGATGCTCTTTCATCGCACAAAATGGCTCCAAGATGGCTGCCAAGATGACTCATAATAGACGAAGCTGGCTCAAGATTGCTTCCAACATGCTCCAAGAAGCCCAAAATACCGATCCACGACCGTTCGAAGTGCTCTCGGAGCCCCCCTAGAAACCCCCCAAGAAACCAAAATCCTTCATAAACCTTACGGAACATATTTGATGGTTGCCTTCTCGCCTTTTCACTTCCGATGCGCTTTTGAAGCCCCAAGATACCCCAAGATGGCCCAAGAGAGCCCCACGGGGTGGCCAAAGGGCCCCCAAGACGGCCCCAAGAGCACCCAAGATCGCCCCAAGAGCGATCCACGAGGCGATCTTGAAAGCCCCACAGGGGGGACCAACACAAGGAAACCCGCTCCTTTGATCGATAGCCTCCAAGATGGCCTCAAGCGGGCCCGCCAGGGCTCCCAAGAAGGCCCCAAGAGGGCCCCAAGAGAGCTCCTAGAGGGACCCAAGACGGCCCCGAGACAGCCCCAAGAGCGCCCAAGAGCGCCCCAAGAGCGTCCCACGAGGGCCCCAAGAGGCGGTTTGATGGCTCCTAGGGGGGAGCTGAATTGGAAGGAGGAGGAGGAGGAGAAGGAGGAGGAGGAGGAGGAGGAGGGGGGGAAGGAGGAGGGGGG